CAGTTGCAAATCTTTAAATCAATTATTTAAGACTTTTGCCCTTTTAACCATGTAACAATGCCACCAAAAATACAAAGATTTTTCTCATTATTGTTTAAAGTATATATTAAACCTAGGATTACAGGAGTCGAACCAAAAACTCAGCAATCCCCTTACAGGGATTAAGGCATCAGACACGGTTTGCTCAGCTCAAAAGATAAAAACTAAAATAGATCGATCTAACTGTTACCATTTGGAACACAGATCTTAAATCAGTGTTTGCTTACTTCGGAATTTAAAAGACTAGCCTGTCTTTAAGATGGGATACAGCTTTATTGGAGAATATATTAAAAAGTCATTTCACCTCTGAAACAATAAACACTCAACTTAACATACTATCCGATATAAAAACTAGTGCCACATACATTCTATTCTCATGCCTTTGCTCCTTGATCTCCAGAAGGGCACAGTTAAGTTAAGGTGAATTCAAAACTGAAGGCTCAGTCTTTATATTTTTAGCTACAATGAAAATAATTCAAGTACCTCCTACCTAGAGTCAGTTAAAAACTGTTAAACACCAACTTTATTTTTTAGAAAATTAACAGCAATTGTTTATAATTTAGGCTGGATTCTTACCTCGTTTGGATTCACTGATTGAAAACGAATTTAAAGAAGAACAAAAATCTTCTAAGGATGAAGTCAAAGGTGGATAAAATTCTGAAAAGGAGGGTGGAGGAGCATACCTCGCACCAATGGGTAAGGTTCCTAACAGAGATGCCGAAAAGGGTATGCTAGGAGAGACACTGGCTGTCTGAAGGGGTCCTCTGACTAAAGCTGACGGCTGGGGAAGAGAAAAGATGTGATTAAAATTCACGAATCTCTGTTACGAGTTTGGCTGAGCTATTTTCAACATCAGCATACAAAAACAAATTATTACACTGGGTGATCATGTTACATAAAAACATTTAAATCGAAATCAAGATTCATTAGCATTTTTGCTACAAAGCTTATTTCTTTTCAAGCCCAGTATTTAGAAAGGATGGAGGTGGGATGTCTAACACTGTTTTAATCCAAATGTTACATTCATGTTTCATCTGCAAAGCCTCCTTACCACTCCCTAACCTTAACTGGACCATGAAGCTCATAAGGATTCACCTCATTAAAGAGGAATTGCGGGGCTGTGCAGGGCGGGGCAAAAGGAAGTGTGATCCAGAGAACGGAGCTGGAGAAGCCCTTGGGGACTGGGACCCTCTCTCTGGAGGGGTGAACTTATGATCGCACAAAGACAAACAGAACTCTGACTTCCCCGGCCTCCATCAAAGCTACAACTCACTGAGAGCTTCCATGTGTCATACACTGTAAGTATCACGTACTATCTCTTTGATTCTTACAATAGGTCTCTCAGATACATCCTACCATGACTGCTATCGTACTTCCCTGTACTCGGAGGTGAAGTCACCTGCCCAAGACCACGGAGCTGGTAAGAATCAAACCCAGCTCTGTCACCCTTTTGCACATACTGCTTACCTCGATCAACTCCACATTGATATCATCTACTTCACTGGCCCTGGAAACCAGTTCTGAACTTCTCCCTCTCATCATCATACTACTACTGCTGCTGCTATTTCATTACACTTTATGGCAGGGGTCAGAAAACATTTTCTATAAAGGGCTAGATACTAAGTGTGTTAGGCTTTGCAGGCTACACAGTTCCTGCTGCAACTACTCAACTCTGCTGTTGCAGTGCAAAAGCAGCCACGGACAACACATAAAATGAATGGTCATCCATTCGTTAAGACTTTATTTATGAACCCTGAAATTTGAATTTCATATAATTTTCATGTCACAAAATACTACTCTTCTTTTTGTTCTTTTTCCAACCACTTAAAAACGTAAAAAACATTCTTGGTTTGCAGGCCATACAAAAACAGGTGGAGGGCCAGGTTTGCCCCGTAGGCAATAGCTTGCTGACCCCTGTAAGAGGACACTGCAGAATTATCCCTAAGGAATGAGAAACCCTTAACCCATAAAACTCATTTTTCCTTAAATATCAAATA